TTGCTCTTCTTTCCCTTCAGGTACTGGGTTGAAGTCTTCTTCATCATCACCATCTTCTTCTTCTTCCATTTTTACTTGCAATCCTCGTGTGGAGGACAAACTGGTGACTCTAGCCATTGATGGGGTGGCACAGGCACTATGTCTGAATGTGCAATATCATTAATATCTTCAGTACGTCTTCCTTTTTTCGTATTGTAACTGACTCACAGAGCATGTTGAGAGAGGTCAGGCATGCTTTGTGCAGAGTGGCAAGCATCACTTCTGTAATAAACCTAGGCTTGACTTGGACTGCGCTTTGGCTTACTACTTATTGGCTTTAGCCACGGCTCACTCTCTGGATGTTTACTGCTACAAAACTTGCACTACTTTAACGTCTTGGGTTGACAACACGAACGCCGCTCAGCTTCTTTGTACATTCTATCAGTTTATTCTCTTCCATTTATTTCACATGTTCAAACATTATTCACACTTTATCACTCCCGACCTATTCGAACATTAAACATTTGCGCAACATAAAGACGACATCTTCAAATACTACAACCGTCTTCTCTGACTTCTGATGATCGACTGACCACGAGGCTAGCTCGGGCTTTCCCTCGCTTCCTCGACTAGGCACAAGTATCTCGTGCTGTCCCTTGTTGCAAGGACTTTCTGCTTGCCACTATGTAATCGTGAGGACCATGCAAAGCAGGGTCATTACATCTTCAGAGGTCCAGGGTAGTTAACATCCTTTGGATATTTTCTCCAGGTATTCCGGTGTTTTGGGAAATGAGCAGGCAGATAGATTGGCCCTCGCTGCACCACTTGGTGGTGAATTAGTGTGTGTCAAGCTAGATGTTGTGAGGGCCCTTTGGGAGCGAGTGAACAGTGCCGAGGAACAGATAGATCATTACGGTCTGAGGAGAATGGCACTGCGAGGAGTTACCAGGGGATCTGACCGACGCTCAACACTCAGTGGAAGGGCGAGAAAAACAATCTAGAATACAATCTGGAAATAAAGTATACTATGCCCTTCAACATCTGCTAAAGTCAAAGTGTCTGTCTCGCAACATCAAGATCGAAATATATAAAACGTTGATAAGACTAGTCGTTTTATATGGCTCTGAAACTTGGAGCACAACTAAAAGAGATGAAGCCTTATAACAGGTTTTCGAAAACAGTCTTAACAGTCTTACAATGAAACTTGGCACCCCTCAAAGATGCAAACAGCGGGGAATGGAGAGTGAGAAGCAACAACGAAATTCACAATCTGTTTAAATCCTCATTGATAACTGGCATCATGAGAACTAAGACTGAAATGGTTAGGGCATATTGAGAGACTGTCAGGTGACAGAGAAGTGAACACTGTATACAGACGGGAGATGACAGGTCGTAGTCCACGATGCAGACCAAGGAGACGATGGAGAGATAATGCCCAGACAGGGGGCTGCGTGGTCTCGAGGCATGGTGTCCGCTTCGAGTGCTAGAGGTTCCGGGTTCAATCCCCTGTGAGGGCAGGGATTTTATTTTACATGGACTTGGACTTCTAGTAATTCCGCCTGGTATCTGGATAGTGAGATCGGTCGCCCGTGTGCGCACGTAAAAAATACCTAAGCAGTTGGAAATCGAAAAGAGTAGCATAACGGCGCTGTCCGGGCAAACAAAAATTGGAGTTAATAATCTACCTAAGTATTTCAGGATCCTCGCTGGTGCTACAGAGCCCCCGAAATGTGCTGGGATTCTTCAGACTCAGACTTGAGTTAGAACACACGTGGCACTTATGGGTTACTACCCGTGTACCATGATGTTGATCCGTTGTTCAAACCTCTAACCTCATTATGTCCAGACAAACCTGCAAACACTTGGTGTCACCAACTGGAAAGAAAAGGCCAGCTAGAGAGATAGATGGAGGCGGGTCATATCTGCAGTAGTGAACCTCAAGGGCTTGTAATGCTGAGGAAGAAGAAGACGAAGAACTCTATTCTCTGCTATCTATTTCAGAGCTACAGTGACTGCCTCAACCTCCAGACTCAGGCTTAAAGTTGTATATATAGTGTTTACAGTATTCACAGGAAGTGGCATCACCAACATGGCGCCAGTTTATGACTTCACGTCTGTAATCATAACAACTCAAGCAGACTACAAAACTCACCGCTGTTTTTGAGTTTTTTAATTTTCACCCTGCAGTTTTTAATTCTCTGGAATACCAAGTGGTGAAATGTAAGTGAAATCAAATGTATCATTTGTCGATGTAACTAATCAAATCTGCGTAGATACACTATTTACTTAGATTTGTGTGAAGAAACCGATTCGTGTTCTGGCTTGTTGAATGTTCGTTGTCACTGACTCAGACTGAAACGCGACTCTTCTTTCATTTTTGTGATTTTCTGTTTTCTGGTTCATATTTCTGTTCACTGTGGTGAGTAGTTCTATTTATTTAAAGGAATACCATACCCGTGTTTGCATCTTCTCAGTTTAATTCTGTTTTTGTATAATGAACCTAGAAATGATATTGAAAAATATACCAGGCAATAAATGGTTCATTCAATGTGTGATTTATTTTGTCTTGTAAATTGTTCAGACATTTGCGACGCCAGCGGAGAAACATTGCTTTAGTTTGAGTTTCTTGTTCGTGGCCCAGAAAATAGGCCAGCATGAGATGGTTTAACTATGTGTTATGTAACTGAGTAAATGTATTTATAGGATGATGAGTCTTCGTCAGACGCATGGTCTGGAACATGAATTCTGCGATCAGGATTCTTCACATACTTGTCGAGTGTTCCAGGATCTATCTAGTATCTTTACGTAGGGGCGATAGTCAAGTTTTATATATTGGGGGTTTATTTAAAAAACAATCACAGCTGGATGTAGATTAAAATATCAAACTGAACAAAACCTCACTAAAGCCTGTATGTCAAATCTATCAAAGATTTTACAATTTTGTTTGCACATAACACTATTGATACATTACAGTATATGTAGCCCGATAAAATATGTACGCCGGCTTGTGGCCCGGTAAAACTTATGGTTGAAATGACTAAATTCATTAATAATATTTAGTCAGTCAGTCAGTTCTCGTTATGCCTAGTTATGAGGCTTCAGAGAGGACTTTCCATGCTTTCCTGTCCTGTGCAATCTTCAGTGCAGTTTTCCATGTCAAAGATGCCGCACTCAGGTCACTTTCCATCGTTCATCTCCATGTTGGTTTTGGGTGCCCCTGTTTTCTCTTTCCCTCTGGTGTCCATGTGAGAGATGTTTTGGCAGGTATATCAGGATTCATTCTCATAATGTGGCCAAGCCATTTCCATTTTCTCTTGGTTATCATACTGTCTAAAGTTTCTTGGTTTGTGACTTAAAGTATTTTAGTGTTTGAGATTGTATCTGGCCAGAAAATTTTGATTATTCTACGTAGACATGTGTGGTGGAAGGTAGATAGCTTGTGTGCATCCTTTTTGGTCATTCTCCAGCATTCTGCTCCATAAAGAGTCGGAGTTTCGTTCCTCTGCAGTAACTGTTGGATTACCAGATTTGCCTCATCCTTCCAAAAAGCAGCTCTAGCTTTGTTCAGATGTGACTGTATGTCCTCTTCGGTCCCTCCCAGCAGGGACACCACACTGCCAAGATATGTGAAATGTTCTACATTTTCAAGAGATTGGTTATTTATGGTCACTGGTTGTTGGTTTGGATTGCTTGTCATGATCTTAGTTTTCTTTGTATTTATTCTCAGTCCCACCATTTCTACTGTGCAGTGTAGTCTGTTACTTTTTTCTTGTATATGTTCATGTTTATGTGATAGGAGTGCTATATCATCTGCAAAATCAAGGTCCTCAAGCATGGTGAATGGAGTCCATCGTATGCCTCTAATCATGTTTAAATGCATGGTAAGCTACTTTTTCTGTATGCATTTGTTTCCTTTGCAAATCTACAATCACTGTGGCATTATTAAGGCATCTATCATAAGTTACTGGTGTTGTCAGCTGATGAAATTGGTATGTGATCACTACAAAATCCAGATCATAAATTTTACCCAATGTGGCCACATTGCTTACTAATATTTAGTAATGAATAAGCCAAAATGCATATTGAGCTACTGCCGCTGTATGATTTATATTTTTCAAATCTACACATTTGAGCTTTTTTAATTACAATTATTTTAATTTTGAAATTAATTAAAAAATTTTTTTTTTAGTTTAACGATTAGTTCATCTATTTTTTTTTGGTTTGAATATGGTATTGTGTAATTATTTACTATATAGGCATTTCAGATTTAAAGTATGCTAAATTTTATGCCTCTCATCTTTGTTATTCATTGGGTAAAAACATTTATGGTTTTACTTTCTGAGTGTTCCTTTTTTAAAGAAGACTTTTGTGTATTTATTGTAATATTCATGAAACTATGTGTTCTGGTGTACGAGAAGACTTTTAGTTCAGAATACGCAGTTAGGAATATACCTTTAGTTTAGATTAACCCACAAAAATACAGTTGGCTATCAGTGCAAAGCTTTTGCCTACCAGTAAGGTCTACGGGCAAATGAAATTAGACTGCAGTATATGATAATCGTTGCCAAGACAACATCGAGTCTGCCATTTATCTGTATATTAAAACACTAACCATAATGTAATACTGAATTTGCGTGTTATGTATGTTACATTTTGTATGAATATGCCAGATATGTTCACCAAACACAAGTTTTAGCCAGATTTATTTGTGATGGCCAACTGAAAGTTGTTAAGTGGTTTACTGTGATTGTTAGGAGTGCTCTCCCATTTCTTTACAACTTGGTTATAAAGTTTTACACTTTATACTGGCCAACTAAATCAACCACGAGTTTTAGAACGATTTTTTAAGGGTTAAAACTGGCTTTATATGCCATAATTTATTGTAAATAAGCTTCCTGCATGGCACCTGTAAATGTGTACCTGATATTTTCTTTTTGTTTTACAGAATAATTTCGACTCCAGTATTAAAGAAGACTGTTGACTAAAGGGAGCTCCCTGTGGAGTATTTGCAGCTGTGCACCATGATTGAGAGTGTGCAAGCGAGGCAGCGCGGGGCCTTCAACTTTGAGGACCACTATGAAAATCTGTGTGCACTTCAAGATTCAGCTCCTCTTGCTGCTGTAAAGGCACACCTGGCCAAAGGGGTCCTTGATCTGAATGGCGATCGCATCAGGTATTAGTTCTCTTCTTATTCATTTCTTTTAGTTAGTTAGACAACAGAACACTAAAATTGAACTTTGAACCATTCAGTCCATAAGGGAGCGAGTCTCCTTCTCACTATATCCCCCAATGTTTAGCATTTGACAACACCAATTGGTTTCGTATTCTCCCATCACATACATCCTCACATACACTCCCTACCGCACACACACATATCCACACCCTGATAGACCATTGCCAACTCTCTCTCTGACACATACATATACAGAATTAACAACACATACAGACATATCCACACTCTGATTCACTAATGAAAACACATTGACACACACCCACATATACACCAGTAGCAACATGTGTACACACCCACAGATACACCAATAACAACATGTGTACACACACACACCAATGACAGCACATGCATCCACACACACCGGCCACCATACACCCACACTGATACACTAGTGATAACACATTCATACACCATCCACCTATATTTAGATACACGATTCAGACTTATACATCTATACACAGCCTACAACATACATCTATTCGCAGATGATACACCATCTGTAACCTACATCCAAACACACTGCACACCACAAATACACCCACATGTAGTTGCAGATGGCTAGTCTATGGATTGTGCCAAAATTGTTAATCCCCTTAAAGGCGATTGAAGGATTTGGTAGCCCGTCTGTTTTGCTAGTCACTGTGGCATTGGCAGCTAGACGCCCTCCTGCGGATCGGAAGGTCATGGGTTCGCGTCAAGACTGAGCCGGACTTTAAAAAAAAAAAAGACCTTGACTCCCAGGTGGACCCAGCCTTGAGTGGATACCAGGTGCAGTCCTGGGAAGTAAAGGCGACTGACGTGATGCTGACCACATTACCCACCAAGTGCCGATTGGTTTTTAAAAAGATAGGTCTAGCCCTATATTCCTAATACGTCTAAGGGCATGGAAAAGGAACCTTCACTTTTACTTTACTCTGTATTGCTGCTAAGAGTGCAAAGATTGGGAGAAAAGACTAGCACAGCCATGCAGAATTAACCTCAAGATTACTCTCCAAGGAAGCAGAACTGGTCTTGCAGTGGATACCAGCCCACTGTGGTATTCAAGGAAATGAGAAAGCAGATGAGTGGGCAAAAGCTGGAAGTAATCTTCCACAACCTCATCCACCACACAGCTACAAGGAAACCAAAACAGCGCTAGAGCAGTCTTTCAAGCAGGAGAGTAAATGGCAGAATGGAGATAACAAACCAGAGAGTGACAGCATAAACAAACTCAACAGGAAAGAACAAAAATCAATTTTTAGAATTTGGACAGGACACTCTTCGAGCACACCTGAACAGGATAGGAATAAAAGAATCTGCTGCCTGTGATTGTGGAGCAGAAAGACAGACCCCTGAGCACACACTGCAGTACTTCCCTTACCTCTCCCAGCAAAGACTGTGGATCTGGCCCAAGGGAGCCACATTGAAAGAGAAGCTATGGGGGACCAGTGGCGACCTTAAACGCACAATCCTTTTTGTGACCGAGACGAGACTCAATGTTTAGCATGACTGATGTCAAACGCAGAAGAAGAAGAAGAACCACAGGATGCTGATGTTGTTATTAGAGAGGAATCTGATCACTTATGAACATGTCTGAAGTACCATGAAGATAACCCAATTCATAAAATACACAATGCATAATTTTTTTAGTTCAGTGAACAGTTAAAGACTTACTCAGTTTGTTTCTGATGCCAGGTTAAATGATTGGTCTCCGATCATCAACACAATCAAAATCAACAGGAGCCTGCAGTTGATCGCTGTTCGAAGCTTTTGTCAGGCCCCAGCGTCAGAAGATGGTGGGTGTTTTACAAGTCTCGCTGTTTTAGAACTCTCTCTTTTGTGTTCATTTCTTTTTTTTTTTAATGGGAACTGTTAATTCCCCTGTATACGTTGTTCTATGATTGGTTAATCAGGGGCCGCGTTAGCGCAGTTGATATGAGGCTCGCTTTCAAATCCAGCTGCGACTCGCTGCAGCCCACTGTCGGTGTTCAAAACCGGGCGGTTCCCTTGGTTCACCCAGCCTCTGGGTAAATGAAGGAGCGTCGCTGTAGCTAAGGAGTTGCGTGCGGACGGCGACACAGGCTAAAAGTTTTCTTATCAGCTGTCCGTACTGGTGGCAGAGCACTTATGGTTTATAACCGCGTGACGCTGGTTCACATCTCCCGACTTTATCTTTACCTTTTTTTTGGCATAAGATAAAATGAATGTGTATGTCTTCTTCGTCCTCTTCTTCATCCTCCTCTGCCCCATTATTTTACTTGTTTTCCTCTCAATGAAGCATAGTCTCCCATCTGCATCTCTCTCTTTTAAAACAGATACCTAACCACCATTAACCTTTCACTATGTTTACTTCGGTCCGCACCTTTGTTTCCTTTCACTGAATACCTCCCTGTATCTTTTTGCCTGTGTCTTCCTGTCTCTCTCTTTTTTCCCTATCTCTCAACCACCTTTCCTCTGCTTCTCATGAGTGCCAGCCTGCCTGCATGTATTTGTCAGAAGCTACTGTCTCATTGTATTTCTCAGTCTGACCTACAGAAAATATAATCTGTATATTATTGTGCAGGAAATAAAATGGCTGTACTCAAACACAAACTTGCAGCCATCAGATCAAAGGAGATAACTCACAGGCTGGTGAAGGCACTGAAGGACTGTCTGCTGATCTCCCCTACACTGTCCTGTATCGAGCTGCAGGGACTAGCCCTGAGACGCAGCGATTTGTTGGTGTTGGTCAAGGTAGGAGTTGTTTTCATTCAACAGTATGACTGTTGTTGTAAAAGAGTATGTTGCTGTTGTTGTTGGCAATGAGGATGATGGTGGTGTTGGTCAGGGTAGGTGTTGTTGGTGTTTTTATTCATCAGTAAAACTGTTGTGTTAAATGATTAGGTTGCTGTTGATGATGTTGATTATGATGTTGTTAGTGCTGATGTTGGAATTGATCTCAATTTTGGGTTTGTTGATCATACTGGTGTTGTTTGTTGATGATATATGTTGATGATGTATGTTGGTATTGATATTGATACTGTAAGTATTGATGACTATTTTTTTTCTTTTAAATTGGTGTAATGATATTGGTGTGTGATATTAGTAATATGTTCTTAGTGTTTTATGATGATGATGTTTTTGGTGTTGATTGTTATATGATATTGCTAGTTTTATTATTGGTGTTAATGATTTTTTTAAATTGTTTATGATGAAATGATGTTTTTGTCTTATTGGTGTTGATGATGGTGTTTCTGGTGATAGGATGTTTGTGTCTTATTTGATGTTGCTATTAATAGTGATATTCAATTTTTATTGTATTGTTGTTGTTGATGATTTGTTCGCGTTAATGATGTTTTTTTTTGATTATTAGTGTTGATTACTGTTGATTTCTGCTGTCATTGCTATTGTTGTTTTAGGTGATGATGATAACGGTGATACATTTATGAAGATGTTGGTTTTTGTTGTTGTTGTTTTATTTGTTCTTGTTGTTGGTGATTATAGTAACACTTTGTTGATGCTGTTAATATTCTTGTTGCTGTCAATAAGTTTTTCGGTGCCATCTGCTCATTATTGTCTCTGAAGGATCTCTGTCACTGTCTATCCTTCACCTTTTGTACACACTGATAGAGGGGTCTCTGTGGCAAAGTGGTCAGGTCGTTTGCCTCACGCTCTGAAGGTCGTGGGTTTGTTTCATGGCTGTGCCCTTCACTTTACGATTGCATTTCTTACGGAGATCCCTAGAGATCGTCGCTGGAGCTTTGGTGTTTGTGCTCTGCATGGCAATCTCGGCTAGCCATTCTGTGGGGAGACCCGTGCCATATGGGAGAAAACCTGGTGCAGTGAAGTTGGTCCTCTCGACTTTAACCTTTAACACACTAATAGACTGATCTTTGCCCGTCTCTTGATGTTATCTTCCCACTTATACAACTGTCTGCCTTATGCTTCCTTGAAACTTACCATTTATACTTGCATGCTTTTTACTGCAAATGCATGAGGAGTGTCTGGCAAAATGGTTTGAATTAAATCTGTCGTTTCATTTATGAGTGCATACGTTTCAGGGATTGTTGAAGATCTGAGCTGAGTTTGGGGCTTTGTGGCAGCCTCTTGCTGTTCTGAACCATATACCACTTAAAGAAGTAAATCAGTGGCATCTGTCCAGATGGTAGTTTTATACTTTGCCATTGGAAGGTGTGGGAATCACCTCCCATGGCGATGGCAACTGTGACTGGGAAGATTAGCTGACATTATAAAAAGTTGTGCACAATTAGAACAGTAACACTTATTCTTGCTTGCTGCCTGCTGAAAGCGAGCTGCTGCGGTGAAGTGACCAGATGCTCACCTGCAGATCAAATGGGCAGACGGGGCAGGACTTCTTTTTTTTTTAAAATAGAAGATAGGGACAGAGCGCTTATAGGTTTGATCCGAGTGCTATGATGTTAATTCTCAATTCAGCATTCATCATTGTGCAAAATCACTTATAGTTACTTGCTATCTGCTGAAAGTTCCTGTTGAGTCAAGTGGATATAACATTTGACATGCACTTAGAAGGTCTTGGGTTTGGTTTTGGATGCCTTCGGTTCATAAGTGGATATATTTTGAAGATTTCTGGAGGCTGTAACTGTAGGCTGCAAAGTTTCAAGATTTGTTTGATACTCTTGACATGCAGCCAGCCATTTTGTGTGAGAGACTCGACTGCCCCCCCTTCCCCCACCCCTAATCCCACCCAAAAAAACTGCTAATTACTGTGTTCATTATACCACTTTTTGCGGATTTACGGCCACATGGCTAGTGCTGTGGCCACGGCTGTACAGGTGAGGATTTTATTTGTAAACTGGACTAGTGGGGGGAAAACCCTCTGATAATATTAAACAGGCATTGAAATGAAAAACAGATGGATTGAGGAAATGAGGTCGCTCATGAGAAACACTTCGATGAATGTTGATGGGAGAAACCAAAGTTGATTCTATCCATGATATTGAAAGGACTACACAAGATAGAACTGAATGGATAAATAGACTATGAGTCTTGTGTGATACAAATAGCACAGCAGGATGATAGTGAAGGAAGTTAATTCACTCATACTTTTACTGAAAGTTCCTTTTAGTGGAGTCTATTGCTTTTCTATATTTCTTCTTTGTACTGTTTATTTCCCAGGGCCTCTCAAAAAGTCAAACACTGCGCCATTTATCCCTGGAGCAGTGTCGGATTGGAGACAAGGGACTGGAAGGTGGGTACCTTTGAGTCGTCAGATCCAAATCTTTGTTGTATTATCCTAGCCAGTTGTTAAAATTCCCACATAGCTGTAGCATAAAATGTGTTGTATTCCAGAGGGGTAAAGAAAGAAGAAAAATATATGGGCAATCACTTGCATCAGCAGTAATAAGACAGAGAAGATGGCTCTATACTGGACACATCCTGAGAGAAAACGAGCAGAAAATCACTAGACAGGCACTAAAATAGGAAATAAAGGGATTAAGGAGACAATGATGCCCCCAAATGCATAAAAAGAACATTGAGGAAAGAGGCCAAAGGGGCTGGGCTCGATTCTAAACATGATTCAACAGAATAGAGGAATAGACTGCAAGTCGTAAGTGGCATATAATGGCACACCACAACAATGAATTGGGGTTTCAGGGGCCCGGAAAAGGGGGGGGGGAATAGACTCACTGCCCCCTCACAAGCATTTTGTAGAACAGTGTTCCTCATTCCTTTCACACCTGTGGCCCACAAAAACATAAGAACATCCACCTGACAGCTTAGCAAACACTGAAACAAAAACTTATGTAGAAAGCAGTTTATTAGTTAAATGTCACAGAATTATAATTTTCAGGTAATGCAGCATCTGCTGCTGCTCATATGTAGAAAATCTACGTGGTTGAGTGGGGTTTCTGAGATTTGTACTTGTTTTATTTTGATTCCCTATGTGTTTTTCCTACCGACTGCAAATATGGAAAAGAAAAACTACCTACCCTACCAAGTTACCTGATTAGGTACAAATCTGAAACGGCCCACCTACCTAAAGGTTTAAGAACACTGTTGTAGATGACAACTTATTAGGAGTTTGCTCAGATAGGATTTATTGAAAGGTTCAGATATCCCAGCCTGGCTGCAACACAACATACCAGCCATAGTTTTAACACCGTCACAAGAAGATTCATTTGCAGTGACAGGGAAAGGCTGATTCACCTGAGACTAAGCAAAGGATCTGGAAAATTCCAGGATAATGAACAGGAAGACTTGTATTCAAGCTGTGACTGGTACTTTTAGTGTGGGGAACTTTTCTTTGGTACTGAGGAATGGGATGGAGCACTTATCCAAATGTCTGCAGTGCAGTGATGTCAGTTTGTGATTTTTTTTCCATCCAACTGGCGTAATGCTACCACATCACCCATCAAGTGTCAAAAGGTCTAGCTCTATATACCCAGTAGGTCCCTTTTCCATGCCCTTAGGCGTATAGGGCATAAAGGGCTAGACCTATATTTTTATAGACCAATCGGCACAAGATGGGTTATGTGGTCAGCATCATCCCGGCCTCCTTTATTTCATAGGACTGGACCCGGTACTCACTTAAGGCTGGGTCGACCTGGGAGTCAAGGTCATTTATTTTAAAACATCGAGCTCTGCCAGAGAGCAAACCCAGGACTTTCTAATCCGCTATGCCATGGCGACTCCCGAAATTAGCATATAATATGTTAATATATCTTAAAACAATTTAAATAATTTGCAATATATTATCATGCATGATATATTATTTTAAAGGTAAATAAAGAACATTAAAACAGATCATACAAATGCAGATGCTATGGAAAACAAGAAAAGACTTGCTGCCTCCCCAACGATATATTCGTAAGAGTTAACTCATTCTAGCTTCCATTGAAGTCAGAGTGTGTTTGCCTGAGATGCAAGAAACCAGTGGTCTGCACACAGACAAGTCAAATCTGTACAACGGATGTGCACGCAACAACCAGTGTCTGTCCACAATTGGATGAACAACCAGAACTTTCTGCCAGAGTCTGCAACCTATGAACACGAAGAAGACTATGCACAAAATACAGATAAATAGTTGAGGATTAAAATTAGAATACTGCTGTGAGAGGTTAGTTAATTATGAATATTTTCTCCACTTACCCAAAGACTACTACAAAAAATCTTGATGTAGTATATGCAAAATAAATCACACATGCAGGTTCACCATTATAAGTATGCACAACCAACATTATAGCAAGTTAGTGGATTGGCAAAGGTGTTACATGTATTCCTGTCTGAAAATTGGCTGCTAACATTCTTAATGTGCCACCATCTCCACATTACCTGACCTGTCTGAGAATTGGCTCCTGACATTCTTAATGTGCCACCATCTCCACATTACCTGACCTGTCTAAGAATTGGCTCCTGACATTCTTAATGTGCCACCATCTCCACATTACCTGGGAAAAAAATCTGTGGTTTTTTTGACTTATTATAAACTGTGGAGCAGCGGTGTTGTACTCACTGAAAATAACAAGAGCTAGATCCTTTGCATACTAGAAAGGTAAGGAACTTTTATACATTAGTGCTGACTTCACAATGTTAAGACACTCATTCTGACACAGGTCCTTCAAATGTGAAAAACCAAACTCTTGAACAAACAATGTTGATAATAAACAAAGCAAAGTTTTGAAAACCTTTTATATCCACTTCACAATATCTACTTGTGAATGTGTAGTTCAATTACATTCCCAACACAGCACTTTGTAGGCACTTTTAAATTTCCCACAATACAAGGCAAGGCAACACGCCGGTCAGAAACGATGGCCCACCAAACTATCAGGTCACAGAACACATGGAAGGCGTTTCTGGAGCAGGTGATGATTTAGAAGAATAGGACATATTTCATGCTAAGCAGAGGCTCTGAAGAGATTGGCAATGAAAAGACAGTTGCTGAAAGAAAAAAGAGAGACAACTAAGATATTTTGGCCAACTTGGGAGACATAACACTCTGTTAAAAGCCATGCTGGAGGAAATGCTGAAGGCAGATGAGCAGGAGGTAGACAATGATAGAAGTGGGAGGACAACATCAAGAGGTGGACAAACAGCAGTCTAAGAAAGCGCACCAGCAAGACAAGAGAGAGGGCTTGTTGGAAATCCAGTGCAGCCATCCTTCATTTTAGAGATGGCTTCTGATTGATTGAAATGGTTGATAGCTAAACTATACTTATGGATTTCAGATGATACCTGGGAGGATAAGTAAAACTCGAAGGGCTGACTTAGAAATGACAGTTAACAAATTGCTAGTAGCTTGAATAGAGGCGTGGCTTAGAGGTGACAATAAATAAATTGCTAGTAGCTTGGAAAGAGGCGTGGCTTAAGGATGACAATAAATAAATTGCTAGTAGCTTGGAAAGAGGCGTGGCTTAGGGGTGACAATAAATACATTGCTTGTAGCTTGGATAGAGGCGTGGCTTAAGGATGACAATAAATAAATTGCTAGTAGCTTGGAAAGAGGCGTGGCTTAGGGGTGACAATAAATACATTGCTTGTAGCTTGGATAGAGGCGTGGCTTAAGGATGACAATAAATAAATTGCTTGTAGCTTGGATAGAGGTGTAGCTTAGAGATGACAATAAATAAATTGCTAGTAGCTTTGAAAGAGGCGTGGCTTAGAGATGACAATAAATAAATTGCTTGTAGCTTGGAAAGAGGCATGGCTTAAGGGTGACAATAAATAAATTGCTAGTAGCTTGGAAAGAGGCATGGCTTGGAGATGAAAATGAACAAATAGCTATAGCATGGATAGAAATGGCTAAATAGCTTCGCATGCAATGCCTAATAAGAATACTTGGCATTAAGTGGCAAGACAAGATCACAAACACTCAGGTTTTGGAAAGAGCGGATATTTTTCCTTAAAGCCCAGTCTACGAACGCTCAGGAAGTTGGGCCACACTTGGAGAATGAACTCTGGTGGAGTCTCTAAGGAAATCCTCTATGGCCTCTACTACGATATAACAATGTGTGCAAGTGGGACTTGAATGATACAGATACTGAAGTAGATTCATAGGAACAAAATGCCATGGGCTGTGTTGCTTGGAGAAGGGAATGAGAATCAAGGAAAAAAATGATTGCAGAAAGATATAGAGCTGATCTTCTGAAAAAAAGCATACTAAATAATATGATAGCTTTGACAGTCCTGAAATCCCTTGCTCTAATTATAGAAGACTGTTTTTAATGTGAGTGGGGAGGGGGGGGGGGGGTCTTGCTAGTCACACCGCCATCAGCATGGGCTGTGATTCCTATGCCTTCCGTGACTTGGTTCCTGGCCTTGGCAGGCATCAGCACATAATGGTGTTGGTAGTGTGCCAAGACCCAGGCTCAGACAGGTCGAGGTTTATCTACGCCTCTTCCTGGCCATTCTAGAAACTGGTTCCCTGCCTGGCCCTTGGCCATCATAGATAGAAATGATATTTACTTCAAATTTGGAACCTATCTGCTTGAGAGGTGAGTAAACAACAGTCTGTGTATAAAAAGCCAGATCTGAAAACTAATGTGCTCACAACACTCGAGTCCAACAGTCTGTGTATAAAAAGCCAGATCTGAAAACTGATGTGCTCACAACACTCGAGTTCAACAGTCTGTGTATAAAAAGCCAGATCTGAAAACTGATGTGCTCACAACACTCGAGTTCAACAGTCTGTGTATAAAAAGCCAGATCTGAAAACTGATGTGCTCACAACACTCGAGTCCTGGAATAAGACCAAACAATGTCCAGAAGTTGAACAAGCAGAACTCTCTGCTGGATTTTACAGTCACTGAATGCTAAGAAGAAGAAGAAAAAGAAGGTAGCCTGGCTTGAGACATGGCTAGGAGAAATGTAACATATTTCTGTCCTCTTGGCTGAGTTGTATGTAGGGGTGTACACAACAAAGACACATGCCTCTGAAGTCTCTTCTGTCTGTTTTATCCAGTTTTGTGTAGCGGACTGAAGAACTCAAAGTTTATCAACTCTGTCAATCTCAGTGGATGTAGCATCACTCCTTCTGGTGCAGAGGCTTTAGCGGGGGTGATCAAGGTAGGACTTGCATGTCCTTGTGGTGTTTGTAAAGTGTTTCATGTGTGTGTATACGATGTTCTGTTAGGCACAGATAGGACACATTCTTTTGATGCTGATAGTTTTGTTTTGTTTGTATAGGCTAGATGTCCCGTGTGGTGTAGCTCATGTTTTTGTGATATTGGTAGAATGTTTTGTGTGTATAGGCTAGATGTCCCGTGTGGTGTAGATAGCACATGTTTTTGTGATATTGGTAGAATGTTTTGTGTGTATAGGCTAGATGTCCTTTGTGGTGTAGATAGCACATGTTTTTGTGATATTGGTAGAATGTTTTGTGTTTATAGGCTAGATGTCCTTTGTGGTGTAGATAGCACATGTTTTTGTAATGTTGAGGAGCATTTGTTGGGTATAGATGGGTGTCCTATGTGGTATAGGTAGGATGCATTTTTGTTATATTAGCTGAGTATTTTGTTGTGTTTATGGACAAAATGTCCTATGGTATGGTATAGATAGGACATGTTTTTGTAATGTTAGGGGAGTGTTTTGTTTGTATGAACAGAATGTCTGGTGCTGTGCAGGTAAGACATGTATGTCTTTGTAATGTTGACTTAGCATTTTGTTTATGTAATAGAGAAGTGTCCTATGCAGTGCTGGTAACTGTGGCCAAGGTTTGTTGTGAACACAGTTTTCCAATCCTGGCATTCCAAGATTTCAGTTCAGTTTTGGGTATTTAATAGCAGACAGCTTTTCATTGCTTTTGACAATAGTAAACCTGGTATACTACTCAGAAAGCAATGGCAAACTATTTAACATAAAATTGTTGATAATTATTTATTGTACTTCTTCTTCTTTCTTTTCTTCTTAATGTTACCAGCTGTGAATTGTAATGGAAAATTCTGGTTGTTCCAGGACTTGAGTGTTGTTACTTCATAACTTCAGTGAATAAATGTTTTCCGATGATCTTTGGCGACCCCTGTGAAATGCTCTTCCGACCCCCAAAGGGTTTATGACCCACAGGTTGAGAACAGCTGCTCTAAAAGATATGCAGCCGGCTAACCTTTGGAGTATTGATGTAGGAAATATTGTTTTGGTAGGGACTCGGCAGTCTGAAACCCAAGTTCAAGGTGTCTCCATCGTGCCAAAGAACTGCACGGCTGTTGGGCGAACAGTCGTTAACGAAGGCAGTCAGGTCGTTGTAGGGGCGACGCTTGCTGGTAGATGTAATGTCCTAATTCCCTTCCCCAGCTAATAGTAAGGGTACTGCTGGGGTGACCGTTTGTTAACCCTCACATAATGCCTCAGGTCAGAATGGACGCTAGGCACGGCCACTTTTTTGTACCGTGGCAATTTTTTTTTTTGGGCCAGACGGTGGCTGTTGCATTTTTGCTCTGTTTGTAGACTGGAAGGATATAGTTTCGTTGCCGAGCTTCTGAGTGCATGGCTTGACACTGTGAGCTGTGGATTTCATGTAAAATGTTTTTCGACTGACCAACGTGGTGGTGTGAATTGTAGATTCAGAAAATGGCGCGATGCCAGTTGGCGCAATATTGGTGGTGCCATTATGTGATTAAAATTGATCGCGTGTGCAACTGCAGATCTGTTGGTGACTTCTGCTAGTCACTAGTGCTACCATCCATGATGAACTGCATTTCTAGTGTCAGACTGTTTGTGTTAGCGCTTCGGATGGCTACAGTATGCTATTAATGCATGTGTATGCTAGCGCATTTGCTGAGACAGCAGTCTGTCAATCTTTTCATAAGGGACTGTGATAAACATTTTGTGTGTTTTTCGTTGGCACAGAAGCAGAGCAACTATGGGGTGACCCGTTTGCTATGAAGCTGAAACTAAGATTACCAGATAACCGGATTGTTTTGACATTAAGGAAGAGCTTTGTACGTGAAGAATTTTCTGTGTGGTATAGTTTTGATTTCTTCTTTTTCTTCTTGAATCCTTCTGTCAGAACATTTTTAATTAGGAGGCAAGTAGACTTGATGAAAGCTATTGTTCAGTCTAAATCTCCCTGTGTGCCATACAGTTTATATAGGTTAGTGTGAACACAGAAGACACAGTGTTCACTTTTTTGCCTGGAATATTTAAACTCTACCAGCTTCACTCAAAACTGACACTGTTTAGTTTGGGCAGTGCAGCTTCACGACCATGTCCTTTTGTTTGCACAAATGTGGACAGAAGTGATAGAGATTTTTTTTTTTTAAATTTATACAATGTATCATAGAAAAATCTACCTCAGTGTGGATTCAAACCCTAGATCAGCAGGCCAGAATCTAGCCAGTGCACTACCACAGCTGCCACTTGTCTCTGGTATTGTAAATATTTGTATAGCCTTGGCTTTCTTCTTTAGTGACTGAATAACATCCCTATTTTACCATAATGAGATTACTTCTTTGACTTTCTCTTCCACTTGTCCTCCTCCTTCTTCTTCTCCTCCTCCTCCTTTTGCAGAGGAAGGGAAAGAAAAAAGAGAGGAAGGAGACTAAGAGAAAGGAAGGAGAGAGAGAAAGAAGGAAGCGAGAGAGAGAGAGAGAGAGAGAGAGAGAGAGAGAGAGAGAGAGAGAGAGAGAGAGAGAGAGAGAGAGAGAGAGAGAGAGAGAGAGAGAGAGAGAGTCATGAATTTGAAGAATAAAATCCAGTACAATGGATTAAACATTTCCCTTTAAAACATAAACTAAAAAAAGTGATCAAATAGGTTCATGTGTCGGGTAGTTGGTATGTGTAGGGGGTTGTTATCTGGGGGTGGTTGGTATCTGTGGGTGGTTGGTATGTGTGGGTGGTTGGTATGTGTGGGTGGTTGGTATGTGTGGGTGGTTTGTATCTGTGGGTGGTTGGTATCTGTAGGTGGTTGGTATGTTTGGGTGGTTGGTATCTGGGGGTGGTTGGTATCTGGGGGTGGTTGGTATGTGTGGGTGGTTGGTATGTGTGGGTGGTTGGTATCTGGGGGTGGTTGGTATCTGGGGGTGGTTGGTATCTGGGGGTGGTTGGTATCTGGAGGTGGTTAGTATCTGGGGGTGGTTGGTATCTGGGGGTGGTTGGTATCTGGGGGTGGTTGGTATCTGGGGGTGGTTGGTATCTGGGGGTGGTTGGTATCTGGGGGTGGTTGGTATGTGGGGGGGGGGGGGTGGTTGGTATGTGAAGGTGGTTGGTATGTGGGGTTGGTTGGTATGTGGGGGTGGTTGGTATGTGGGGGTGGTTGGTATGTGGGGGTGGTTGGTATGTGGGGGTGGTTGGTATCTGGGGGGTGGTTGATATGTGGGGGTGGTTGGTATGTGGGGGTGGTTGGTATCTGGGGGTGGTTGGTATCTGGGGGTGGTTGGTATCTGTGCATGGTTGGTATCTGTGCATGGTTTTGTATCATGACTAGAGAGGGATTGAATGTCGGAGGAGTTTATCTTGGTTGGACATTTGATGGAGTTTATGTTAATTACTATTGTGCACACTGAATTGTGGAAGAATCTGGGAGTTAACATGTTGACTGGAAATGATTAGGTTGAACTGATATATGTTGATTGGAATTGTGCAGATTGAATTGATTGGGACTTGTGGGTAGTGTTTATCTCTGGTATCCATAGAAGAAATTGTGTTTGGGTGGAAGGGGGTGGGGGGGGGGGGGTTAGGGGAAGAGTTGTGTATTCAAAGGGTACACAGAGAAGATGATTAATGGGGAGGGTTTCAAAGCACATGGAGAAAAGAATTAGGGACAGAAATGATTATTGTGGTGGAGAGTATGATTTGAGGTAGCAAAGAATGGGATGGTTTCGCACCTGCCGGCCTCCGGGGTTTCGTTTTATGATAATAGAAGAATAGCCCAACTTTCTCCTAACAATCATGCCCTAAAAGCCAACTAATTATAATTTAACTGGGATTGGTTGTGTAACAGGGAGACGTCATCACTTGCTTGTTAGGAGGGAGGATATTGCGCAAAGCTAAGATGTAACAGGATCAACAAGTTTTGGTAACCTTGACATTCCCTTTTTCTAGAACATTCCTTTGTTATTAACATATAAATATTTTTCAAATGAATAGTATTTGATGACATTGTTGGAAGTCTGTATGACGTCAGCTGTCGATTTAATTACTATAGGCACAGAATAAGATGATGAAATCTGATGCAGTTGAGATATTATTAGAAAATCCCACCTGAGAACGCACATAGTAAACATGTTGAGACTTCCTAGAAATTTCTAGAAAAGTGGAAAACAAATACCTAGCATTCCAGATTCCAAGTATAAATAATGGGTAACTGAGCACTTTAGCAGCCTTCAGTCTTCGAGACTTAAAAGAGGAGGGACTAGTAATATGGACCCTCATAGAGCACTTTCAGTTGTAGAGATGTCAGTTCAACAATAGAAGCAGTAGAACTAGTCATTTGGAGCCTCGAAGACAGACACTAGAGAAGAGACATGAAACAAGACATCGAACTACAAAGACGACACACAAGATACATGGATCCATAGTTAACGGAGACACAATAGGTAGGACACTGTTATTGAGATGTTTGAGTCGAAGATTAAGCCATTAGTACCAGACAGCACTAGAAGCTAGGTGGCGATTACAGACACTATTACAAATTAACAAAGTAACTAGAGATAAAAAAACACAACGCGACCTTAAGAGTATGTAACAATAGAGAGAACACAGCGCCATTCAGAATATCATAGATGTTGTTTGTGACATGGCTGAAGTATCACAATAAAGACAGTATAGACAAGAACAGTTGTTTCCAGACATTTTATTATACAAGCATCAGAGTCAAGTGAGAAGCATGCAGCAAGCAAGACATCATCATCACCACTATCGACATGACCATCTTTCTCCTCGTCTATACACTTTCAATTGAGTCCTCCTGTAGCGAAACTAAAGACGAACCTGGGTGTGACATCAACTTACGCAACGAAGAACACAACTGTGCTACAGCTGTGCTGGGTCAAAAGATCTGTATTAGGCCATACAGCCTGTATGTAAACAGCAATCTAATCTGCCAGCCTCCTTTTTAATGGCGAACGAAA